GGGCAAAACTTTCCCTGTAAAACTCCAAGCACAGGCAACACAGCTTTTGCCTCATCACAGATAAAAAAATTCATGTCCTCTGGACTATAGCTGGCTCACGTCAAGGCCAAGCAGAGTCTACACCCATGACTTGTAAGGTACTTTGCCTTCCAATTTGAGCTTCAAGTTTTGTTTGAAACCTAAACCTTACTGGAAAATTCACTGGCAAATCCTCACCTGCCAAAGATGTAACCCCCACCTCTAAATACCTTGTGTTACCATATGTAATCTCCATCTGCACTTGATACAGTGGCATCTCAGTGTTGGTATCTCCACTGCGGAGCTTGGCGCAGCACCAGTATGAAACCAAGTGGCAAACGAGTTAGCAAGTAGAGAGGTCCAGCTCCGTGTGCTGCCCGCACTTCGTACCTCTCTCCACAGCTTAGGCCCACGCTCAGAGTGCCTGAGCTGTTGAAATCAATGTGAGTTATGGACCTGGATATCTTTAATACTCAGGCCTCAGTCCTTGAATCCTTCAATCCCTGCATACAGGTTCACAAGTTCTCAGGAAAGGGAAAGTCCTGTACAGTTCCTGATGTCACCCTCTCTGCTGCTGGCCGCTATACACCCCCTGCTTGAAAAATCGACAAGAACCAGCACATATTCCCACACATCCCAGCGCCCCAAAACTAGAACCTTCACTTTTGCACAGATCCAGTTTTGACATGTAGGAGGCTGACCATAGCAAGCCAAAGTAATTTATTTCTACCTAGCTCTTCTGTGTAGAAGCTTGTTTAGAAATTGAGCATGTGGTTTGGCTATTTTCACCTTTAGCGATCCATTCTTGAAATGCCATTACTCAGTGATAAATAGTTTTTAATTCACAAAAAAAAAAAAGTTAAGAAGTCCTTTTTTCCCTTGCCCTTGCTTTTGTGGGGGTGAGATAAGTTTAAGTTTAAGCAAGCTATTTACTCGTTACTCTGGTTGTAGTCATTTCTGGGAAGGTCTATGTATAGTGCTAATCATGGCTTATGACACGAAATACAGTTAGTTTTTTTCCCATTTCT